AAATTCCTGTGTCATTCTAGTTTATCTATGTAATAATTTCTTATTTTCAGTCACAAGATCATCCACATTCTCTCTCTCTCTCTTTTCTCTACTCCTTCCCTTCTCCTATGTCTTAAAAAAAAATTTTAAACTACAGTTAACCCTTGAACAGCACAGTTTGAACTGCACTGGCCCACTAAATATGCAGGGTTTTTTTCAATAAATACAGTAAATGTATTTTACCTTCCTTGGGATTTTCTTAAAGTTTTCTTTTCTCTAGCCTATTTTAAGAATACAGTATACAGTACATATAATATACAAAGCATGTGTTAATTGACTGTTTATGTTATGACTAAGGCTTCTGGTCAATAGTAGACTATTAGTAAAGTTTTCAGGGAGTCAAAAGTTTATGTAGATTTTCAACCATGTTGCGGGGAACGGCTGGTGCCCCTAACCCATGCATTGTTTAGGGGTCAACTGTACTATGAAATTCACTATGGCTTAAACTTGAAACTCTATGGTAGGATTTCAGCATCTCATCATATTTTTTTAAATGATGAAACTGAGAAGTGGAGATTTAGCTAAATTCACAGAGCTTGTGTATTATACAGCCAGGAACTGGACTAGTGGGACACACCAAGTCTTCTCTGTCCAAAGCTGTTGTTTAACTTTCTTTTAATATTTTTTTCTTTATTGATTTTTATAGAGAGAAGAAGGGAGAGGGAGGGAGGGAGGGGGGGGAGAGAGAGAGAGAGAGAGAGAGAGAGAAACATCGATGACAGAGAACATTGACTGCACGTCTCCTGCATGTCCCCTTCTGGGGATTAGGCCCACAACCTGGCATGTGCCCTGACCAGGAATTGAATTGGTGACCTCTTGGTGCATGGGTCGACACTCAACCACTGAGCCACCCCAGCCAGGCAAAGCTGTTCTTTAATTTTAAGCTAAAACTGCTAGTTATGGACGGACCCTTTCTCACTCAAGAACTGTAAGTCAAATACTCAAGGTTAGTTCCTGAATAATCATGGACTATTACAAAAGTACTCTCTAGGGAACTTTCCAATTTACTTGTGTAACAGACATTTATTAAACACATGCTCTAGCTATAACAGAGAGGTTCTATATATTTCTCTCATAATACACAGACACATACCTAAAAGAGCTTTAAGATGTGCTTGAAATGACCCCAATAATAGTAACATCAGGTGAAACTATCAATTTGTTGAACAGTTTATTAAACACCAGGAACTGATCTAGGTGCCTTAACCTCTGACCCCAATCTCCAAACACATAGCAATCCCATTTTCTCCACATTTTGAAGATATATATATATATATATATATATATATATATGTTATGAATATAAATAACTTGTCTAATATCACAGAGCAAGAAAGGACCTACATTCTTTGGTCTCAGGACCACATTATAACACCTAAAATTACTGAAAACCCCAAAGAGCTGCGGTTCATGTGAGTTATAGAAATTAATATTTATCATACTGGATATTAAAATTTTAATAATATTTATTTATTTTAAATAAAGTAAGTCAATTTTATGTTAATTAAAAACCAATTTCTATAAAAAAAATATTTCTCAAAGCAAAAATTGATGAGTGACACTATCATACATTTTTGCAAACCTCGCTACTATGTAGCTTAAGGGAGGGCAGCTAGCTTTTCCTAGTTGCTTCATTTAATCTGTGGAAATACATTGTTTTGGTTGAAGTACACGAAGAAAATCTGGCCTCAAACACTTATAAGGTTGAAAAGGAGGAGAAGTTTTTAGTAGACTTTTCAGATAATTATATTCTTCTTTAATACTATGCCAAAACTTGACAAATTACTTTTTTTGTTTTTTTTATTCTATTACATTTATTAAATGGTGGGTTTCCACACATGGCTTTGTAAATAATCCAGGCAGGTGGAGAAAGGAGAGGGTGACACAGTGGAAGCTCCCTTCCTCCTAATACATAAGTATTTACATTTCAGCAACTGGACAATGCTGGCTCAGAAGGAGGCAGTAAGAATCAAAAGAAGGTGGAGGGGGAGGCCCCAGGAGAACAAACAAAAAGACTTACTTCCCCCACCCAATCCCCCTCAAAAACCACCCACCCCATTCTAGTGGATTCTGGTTGTGTCCATATCCCCTTCCTTCCCAAATCTTGAAAGTAGGGTTTCTCCTCACCAGAATAAGAACACTTGAAATAACAGAGTAGAGTCCCTTAACCAAAAAATAAATAAATAAACTAAAATAACTTTTTTTAAGGCCCTGGGATAACAATAAGCAACCTTGGGCTGAGGTAGGCAAGCAGTTTGACTGAATATGGAACCCTAGGCTAGAGGAAAGAATTCCTTTACTAAAATTAGAGCTGCTGGGGCATTCAAAGGAAAGCATCCTTGCCCAAGTTAGATCATTTGAACAAACTGGATCCAGCAATATACTAGAAAGATCATACACCATGATCAAGTGGGATTTATTTCAAAAATGTATGGTTGGTATATCAGCAAATTAATAAATATGATATATCACATAAACAAAATGAAGTATGAAAACTACATGATAATATCAATAGATACAGAAAAAGCATTTGATAAAATCCAGGACTCTTTTACAATAAAAACCCTCTGCAATGTGACAAACCCACAGCCAACATCATACTCAACAGGCAAAAAGTACAAGTGTTTCCCTTAAGATCAGGATCAAGACAGGAATGTCCACTTTCACCATTCTTATTCAACATAGTACTGGAACTCCTAGCCACAGAAATCAGACAAGAAGAAGAAACAAAGGGCATCCAAATTGGATAGAAAGAAGTAAAACTGTCATTATTTGCAGATAATAGAAAACCCTTAAAGATTCCACCAAAAAAATACTAAAACTGATAAATGAATTCAGTAAAGTAGCAGGATACAAAATAAATATCCAGAAATCAATTGTATTTTTATACACCAATAATGAACTATCAGAAAAGAATCCCTTTCACTATTACTTCAAAAAATAAAATACCTAGCCCTGGCTGGTCTGGCTCAGCAGTTAGAGCGTTGGCCCACTGACCAATGAGACCCAGGTTCGATTCCAGCCAAGGGCACGTACCTCAGTTGCAGTTTGTCCCCGGCCCTGGTCAGGGTCATGCAGAAGGCAACCAGTCAATGTGTCTGTTCACGTCGATGTCTCTCTCTCTTTCTCTCTACCCCCCTCTCTCCCTCCCTCCTACTTCATCTGAAAATAAATGGAAAAATATCCTCGAGTGGGGATTAAAAAAAAAAAAGAAAAAAATACCTAGGAATAAAAAGACCTGTACTCAGAAAATTATAAGACACTAAAGAAATAAACTGAAGAAGATACAAATAAATGGAAGCACATACCCTGCTCATGGACAGAAAGAATCAACATCATTGAAATGTGCACACTACCGAAACTAATCCATAGATTCAACACAATTCCTATCAAAATACCAATGGCGTATTTCACAGAACTAAAACAAATATTCCAATAATTTATATGGAACCTAAAAAGACCCCAAACAGCAATTGCAATCTTAAGAAAGGAGAACAAAGTTGGAGGAATCACAGTACCTGATATCAAACTATACTACAAGGCCATAGTAAGCAAACCAGCATGGTACTGGTATAAAAACACACATGTAGATCAGTGGAACAGAATAGAGAGCCCAGAAATAAACCCTTGCTTTACACTCAACTAATATTTCACAAAGGAAACAAGAACAATACAATGGGGAGAAGATAGTCTGTTCAATAAATGCTGTAAGAAATACAGGACAGATACATGCACAAAATAAAATAAAATGAAGCTTAACCACCTTCCTACACCATACACATGAATAAACTCAAAATGGATTAAATACTTAAATGTTAGACTCAAAACCATAAAAATCCTAGAAGAAAACATAAGCACCAAGATCATGGACATTTCAAATAGCAATATTTTTTCTGATATATCTCCTAGGCAAGAGAAAACATGAGAAAAAATAAACAAATGGGACTACATCAAATTAAAAAGGAAACCATCAACAAAATGAAAAGACAACCCATTGAATAGGAGATATGTTCAGTTCACTGATACATCTGATAAGGAGTTAATATCCAAAAATTTATTAAAAAACTTATAAAACTCAACACCAAAAAACAAACAATTAAGAAATGAGAAAAGGGCCCTGGCCGGTTTGGCTCAACGGTTAGAGCATCGGCCTGCGGTCCAGAGAGACCTGGGTTCAGTTCCCACTAAGGGCACGTACCTCGATTGCAATTAGTCCCCGGCCCTGGTTAGGTCATGCGGATGGTGGCCACTCGTTGTGGCCCTTTCACGTCGATGTTTCTCTCTCTATCTCTCTCTTCCTCTTTCTCCCTCCCACTCTATCTGCACAAAAAATGGAAAAATGCTCGGGTGAGGATAAAAAAAAAAAAAGAAATGAGCAAAGGAACTGAATAGACAGTTCTCCAAAGAAGACATACAAATGGCCGAAAGACACATGAAAAGATGCTGAATATCACTAATCACCAGAGAAATGCGAATTAAAACCACAATGAGATGTCACCTCAGACCTGTCAGAATAGCTGTCAATAAATCAACAAACAAGTGTTGGTGAGAATGGGGAGTAAAGGGAACCCATGTGCACTGTTGGTGGGAATCCACATTGGTGCAGCCACTATGGAAAGCAGTTTGGAATTACCTTAAAAAATTTAAAATGGAACTGCCTCATGACCTAGTGATTCCACTTCTGGAAATTTATCCAAATAAACTCAAAACACTAATTTGAAAGAATATATGCACCCCTATGTTCATTGCAGAGTTATTTATACTAACCAAGATTTGGAAGCAGCCGAAGTGCCTATCAGTAGATGAGTGAATAACAAAGCTGTGATGCCCCACGCTCAGTGGTAAGAACGTCAGCCCGCACACCAAGTAATCAAGTCCATGAAAGCAGGAATGCCACCCTAAAGAAAAAATTTCCTCCCCTTTTACACTTGGCCTCAGAATGGTAACCCAAGAGAAGATACCTGTGTGGTTGCATCCCGTGTCCTCAGTCAGGTCCTCTGGACATTGTCCTGCACCTAAGATCCGGCCGCAAAGCAGAGCAGGCATTAGCATGAGAGCACGCAGCTTGACTTCAGTCAAACAATAGGACTGTCATCAGGTAAGTTAGCTGTGTTATTAATAAATGGAAATATGTAAATTTATATTGACCATGACCTGCTCAAATCTGGCTTAAAATATTCCAAGGTATGATTCTGAATTAGTAAACGATGACATACTTTTCACCTCACTCAGCCAAAGAGAGTTCAAATAAGATTTGAAATGAGAATTCAGACTGCTTTCTAGATAGACTTCAAATTAATAGTTAATTATTCTCCATTTACACACAGCTTAGGTTTGACAAGTAAAACTGCCAAAAGCATCTGTTTTTGCACCTTGAGAGCTAGTTTTTTAAAAAGTTTTACTTAGCATTCAGTTCTTATTTTTTAGGTTAGACTTTTTTTCCCCAAAAATGAAATTTTGAGGTAATATAGTGTTTTTCCTCATGATTCAATAATTGGGGACTGGATACAGTGATCCTGAATCCCACACTCCACTCTCAAAAATCTCTATTATAGGTGTGGGTTTTGTATCAATCAAACTACATTATGGCCATTTTCACTTTTGGGGGGACCTCAAATTTAAGACGTGCAGGAAGAATAGTTATAAAGTCACCAAAAAGCTGCCTGTGCCAAGTCAGAGGCATAAAAATTTCATCACAGGAGCAATCACAACTTCTAGAGAAACCAGAGAAAACCAGCAAGAAAGATCCAGAATATCCAGGAGGACCTCGTTTCTCCAGCTAGCTCCATCCTAATTGTTAGGACCACTAAGACCAGATTCCACCACTGGCATCTGTTGCATAGAAGGTATACAATTCCAGGACTTAACCAAGCAGTCTTCTTGCCACAGAGGAAGACACAAATCACTCAGACATTGCAATATACACTCCAGATTCTTCAAGGAGCACAATGGTTTAAGTGAAAATTTCTGAAATGTATGTACATGATGATACAGCTACTACTTTATCTGTAAAAATGAGAGAGGCAGCACAGGAAAAATCAGGCAAGTACAGGCATAAGACCCTAATTAAAAACAAAAGAATATTAAAAGCAGGAGTCACCAAGACTTTAGAGAAGAAAAAAGTTATTTGCACGACCAAATATGAACTGTGCTTAAAAGAATGTGACAGCCATATGTCCTTTTAATTAGAAAGTTTATCTAGGAATTAGTAGTCAACCAATTTCCTAATTTCAGCAGAGTGAAGATAGTCAATACTATATCAATGGTCTCAAAATATCAAAACCTAAAGTAGTGTGTGTGTGTTTGTGTGTGTGTGTAAATTTGTTAAGTGTCTTATGAGATAAAGCACTCAAGATCAATTCATAGAAATAAGGATGAAACTAGAATGACTGGCGTGTCTATGGTGGTCTACATTGGATAGTCTCCAAATTACCTATCCAATCATTCTCTCAACCTATGGTTTAGGGCCTAATTACCTTCCACACCGCAAAGAATAAAAAGGTCCAATATATTCCCACTGCTATCAACCCAGTGTACACCCTGAAACACACCTGAGTTCATTATTCCAATAGGTTCCCAGTCAGTCTTTCTGTTTCCAGTCTGTTTCCACCTTGACTCCATCAGAGACCACCCTACCAATGTTCCAGTATCTCTAAAACACTTTCTTCATGCCATTCTTTGCTTAAAGTGTTTAAGGCTTACAGGATAAAGTCCAAATCCCTTAGCATCACATCACATTAAAGGTGCTTCACAATAAACCTCAACCTACTTTTTATTAATTTTTCTTTAAGAATTCCCAAAAAATAAACCTGGCCGGTGAGGTTCAGTGGTTAGAGTGCCAGCCTGTGAACCAAGGTCTGTAGGTTCAATTCCAAGTCAAGGGCACATACCTGGGTTGCAGGTTTGATCTCTGGCCTCAGTCAGGGTACATGAAGGAAGCACCCAACAGATGTATATCTCTCTCACATTGATGTTTCTCTCTGTGTGTCTCCCCCCCTCCATCTCTCCCATCCACTCTCTCTTAAAAAAAAAAAAAAAAAAAAAATCAATGGAAAAAATATCCTTGGGTGAGGATTAAAAGAAAAAAAAAAATTCCTAGAAATAGTAATAATACAATTGAGTACTCATATGTTAAGACAGCACCCTAAATACTTGACATGCATTAATTCATACTACTTTGTTGACCCCAAGAATATACTTGCAAAAAAGTTCACTTGGTAGGTAACTGGGTTCAAATTTACCAACCAGAGTTTAGTACTCATTCTCTGCAGAGGTCCCTCATACATACTGTATTTTGGGAAGAAGCCCCAGACTGAGCTGATAAGCCCCCTGCACTGTACTCTTGCTTCTATCTAAGTCCACCCTTAGAAGAGCTCCTAGGATGAAATTTGACCAATAGGACTAAGACTCACATTCCCCACAACCCCAACAGGAGCTGCACAAATATATCCTAAATTGTATCTTTACTGACCAATCAAAGCAGCTCCATTCTGACAAATCAGGGCGGAGCTATTTGGACCAAACTGTGACGATGAGAATCCTCATTTGCATAGACATGAACCAATCAAGGGTGGAGGATGGCCATCCTTCTCTATATAAACCAGCTTCACCTCTGCCTCAGCAAAGTACACGTTAGTTTCCATCCAAGATTATGTTTCCCTGACCAAAGCTGCACCACAGGAGCTGGAGCTGAAACTGGAGGGAGCTGCCTGGCCTGAGCCACCTCACCCGAGCTACTTGGACTGAGCTGTATCACAACCAAGCTGTTTCACAACTGAGCTGTTTTCACTGAATGTCTCTACCTCCTCACTGCACTCCAAATTGGGGGCTTGTACTGGCATTTAATTAGTGACGATGACCTTCAGGTGTTATAGCTTTATGATGCAAATGCTATTTATTATCCCCATTAAATACAGAAGGAAACTGAACACAATGAAATGAACTCCCTATGTTTCATCTCACATGAGTAAGCAGTGAGTGATATTTTTCCTTCTCTGCTTGGCTTGTTTCACTGAGGATAATACTTTCTAAATCCCTCCATGTCGTCTCAAAGGATAAGAGATCTTTCTCACACCTGCATAGTACTCCATTGTGTATATGTACCACAGCTTTTTTATTCATTCGTCTACTGATGAACACTTGGGTTGTTTCAGATCTTAGTTATTGTAAATAGTGCTGCTATAAAAATGGGGGTACATATATTCTTTCTGATTGGTGTTTCAGGTTTCTTAGGGTATATTCCTAGAAGTGAGATCACTGGATCAAATGGCAATTCAATTTTTAACTTTTTGAGGTAACAAGATAGTGTTTTCCATGGTGGCTGCACCAGTCTGCAATCCCACCAGCAGTGTACTAGAGTCCACTTTTCTCCACACCCTCACCAACACTTGTTTGATGCTTTTCTGATGGCGGGCATTCTGACAGTTGTTGTTTTAATTTACATCTCGCTGATGATTAGTGATATTGAGCATTTGTTCATATGTCTCTCAGCCATTTGTATGTCCTGTTTGAAGAAGTGTCTAGCTCTTCTGCCCATTTTTTAATTGGGTTCTTTGTCTTCCTTTTGTTGAGTTGTATGAGCATTTCGTATATTTTGGAATAACCCCATATCTGATATTTCATTGGTAATTATACTCTCCCATAGAGTGGGTTGCCTTTCCATTTTGATGATTGTATCTTTTGCTGTGCAGAAGCTTTTGGGTTTGATGTAGTCCCATGTGTTCATTTTCTCCGTTGTTTCTGTTTCCTTAGATGATGTATCAGTGAAAATTCTACTGCGTATGATGTCTAAAATTTTGTTGCCTACAGTTTCTTCTAGGATTTTTATGGATTCATGGGTCACATTTAAGTATTTTATCCATTTTGAGTTTATTCTTCTGTATGATGTAAGTTGATGGTCTAGTATGATTTTTTTGCATGTAGCTGTCCAATTTTCCCAACACCATTTATTAAAGAGGCTGTCTTGACTCCACTGTATGCACTTCACACCTTCGTCAAATATTAATTGAGCATAATGTCTTGAGCCATTTCTGGGTTCTCTGTTCTGTTCCACTGATCTATCTCCCTGTTCTTGTGTCAGTACCAGGCTGTTTTGATTACAGTAGCTTTGTAGTATATCCTGATATTCGGAATTGTGATTCCATCTACTTTGCCCTTCTTTTTCAAGATCGGTGTGGCTATTTGGGGTCTTTTTTGATTCTATATGAACTTTTGAACTATTTGTTCTAGTTCTGTGAAATAAGTAATTGGTATTTTAATGGGGATTGCATTGAATCTACAGATTAGATAATATGGACATTTTAATGAGATTAATTCTTCCAATCCATGAACAAGGTATGTGCTTCCACTCTTTTATACCGTCCTCTATTTCTTTTTTCAATTTCCTGTAGTTTTCTGCAAATAGATCCTTTACTTCTTTGGTTAAGTTTATTCCTAGGTATATAAATTTTTTGGTGCCATGGTAAATGGATGTTTTTTTAGTTTCTCTTTCTGTGACTTCATCATTGTTGTATAAGAATTCGGTTGATATACTGATGTTAATTTTGTATCCTGCTACTTTGCGAAATTCATTTATTAAGTCTATTAAGTCTAGTAGATTTTTGATGGAGTCTTTAGGGTTTTCTCTGTATAATATCATGTAATCTGCAGATAACGTGTTTCCAACTTGGATTCGTTTTATTTTTTCTTCCTCTCTGATTGCTGTGGCTAAGAATTCCAGTACTATGTTAAATAAGAGTGGTGAAAGTGGGTACCCCTGTCTTGTTCCCGTTTTTAAGGGAAATGCTTTTAGTTTTTGCCCATTGAGTATGATGTTGGCTGTTGGTCTTTCATACATGGCCTTCATTGTCGAGATATGATCCCTGGATTCCCACACTGCTGAGAGTTTTTATCAGAAATGGGTGCCGGATTTTTTCTAATGCTTTTTCAGCATCTATTGATATGATCATGTGGTTTTTATTCTTCATTTTGTTTATGTGGTGTATCACATTTATCTATTTGCAAATATTGTACCAGC